CTTTAGGGTTAGCTTTAGGGTTAGCTTTAGGGTTAGCTTTAGGGTTAGCTTTAGGGTTAGGTTACAGCACGCTTCTGTCGGCGCGCTGTTGTCGGCGCGCTTCAGGGCTCATTCGTCGCTCCTTCGTCGTGCGGTTTTGTCGGCGTGGTTTTGTCACCGCGGTTTAGTGAGGCGTGCTTTTGTCATTCGTGCATTTGTGGTGGAACCATTAGCTCCACTTAAAAGTAATCACATTAAGAGTGGGCCCAATCCATCCAAGGCTAAATACATTTAATTCACCGAGGACTGCAGTGGGTAAATTCAATTGGCAGGTGAAATTCAACACTGCCTGCCTGTTTGCTGCCTTGCCTGCTGCTGCTCTTGGCCCGTTTTCTATTTGCTAAAGACGTAACACATTTAAGCACATAAATCAGGGGGGAAAAACCATATATGTGAGATGGTTTATGTGCATAAAGGCATAATCACGTCATATCTCAGCCTACAGTTCCCTGGCCATTCCGTCACATTATTCATGTGCTTGTTTTACTATGTACACTGTTCAATTCCCAGAAAGGTTGAGCTTTTTTTGCTAGTGATCTTCTTCCAGGTTTCTTTGTTAATCCACTGTAATTGGATTCACACACAGCATAAAACATACTGTAATATTTATTACCATAGCTTGTTGAATAGCCACAATGGACTAGGATCGCAAAAATATTGTACTCTGTATGTTTGTTATAATAGCAATAGCACTTAGATTTATATACTGCTTCGTAGTGCTTTTACAGCCCCCTCTAAGCAGTTTACAGAGTCAGCCTCTTGCCCCCCAACAATCTGGGTCCTCATTTTACCCATCTTGGAAGGATGGAAGGCTGAGCCAACTTTGAGCCTGGTGAGATTCGAACTGCCGAACTGCAGCTAGCAGTCAGCTGAAGTAGCCTGCAGTACTGCACCCTAACCACTGCACCACCTCAGCTCTTTGTTAATGTCATTAACAAATTAAAGTAAATCAGTCCACATAATATATATTAAGCCAACCAGACAGACCTCAAATTAATTTAATATGCCATGTAAATTGTAGCCTGTATCTCCTTTGTTAAGTCACTTTTTAATAGATTCTCTGAGCCTTAAGATTTTCTTCTTTCTGAGACTGATTTTTGCTTCATTTCCTCCTCCATCGTTTTTTTTTCATTTCAGCCAAAGAGATCAGGTCTCTTATTACAAATCCAAAACGAATGATGTTGAGCATTTGGATTGCTCAAGAAGATTCCCTATCATCACACCAGCTCAACTGATCAACTTCAGACTTTTTATGTACATCAGTGGTGGGATTCAGCCGGTTCGCACCTGTTCGGGAGAACTGGTTGGTAACTTTCCAAGTAGTTCAGAGAACCAGTTGTTGGAAGAAATCTTCTTTTGGTTTTTTCCCACTTTACAGGACTAATTGTGTAAGGAAGGCAGGAAGGAAACATTCTGGTGTTGTTTCTAGCCTCATCTTTATTGACCTGCTTAGAGAAACTGCCTCTCCGGTTAACCCTTGTTACATTGTAACAGCTAAGGCAAAGCGCCCATCGACCTGAGTGACTTTGAGTTGGCCTCGCCCACCCAGTCACATGACCACCAAGTCCCACCTACCCAGGTGGTCATTACGGCAGA